TCGAAAAAATATCGAACCGTGACACCAAAGTATCGAACCGAACCGAACCGTGAATTTTGTGTATTGTTGCACCCCTACTATCTATTCTTATTCAAGAATAAATGTGCAGTTAACATATGATATTGGGACATCAATCATACCTGTGGTGCTGACAGTGAGTGTAGCCAGGGCCCAGCGGAGTCCCAGCATGCCTCTGTACTGTGAGCAGAGTCTCTGCAGGCTGTACTGCACCAGCTGTCTCAGAGACTGCGGCAAGTCCTGCAGGCTCTCCTTCAGCTAGGACGCAAACACAGAAGCCGCTTTCACACATGAACTCCAGACAATGATGTACAAAGATGCCTTTTCTTAAATATAGGATGCAACTAGTGTGTACATAAGAAGCTACCTCTGCACACAGGAGGTGGCAGGATAAAGGGCAAACAGGTAAACAACAAATTCTCCTGGCAGTCGGTTACTCTAATGGACTACTGGACATCACATGGTATAAGGAGCCGGCAAGTTGAAGACCGTTTAATGTGGGAACAGATATGGAGGCTGACAATGAAGTCTAAAGTTTAGAGGAAATGTATACCAAGCAAAATAATTTGCACAACAGTTCATTTGCAGTCAAGCAGATCCTGCACTGGTTTATTGTGGAAGAGAGAGCTGAGTGTGAATGTGTCGATTTACTGGTTAAATTACTTTTCTACCCACCTCCATGTTCCTATATGTAAAATTAAATAAATATTCAAGTATTTTAGTAATCTTCCACCAAACACTGTATTAATATTTCAGCATTTCTTTATTACCTTTATTGTAGTTACGTGTTAGATTAAAATTGTCACATAAATTAAAATACCAGAGAGAAGGGGGCTAAAGCAGTGAGTTTGAACCTTGTCAAAAGAAGCAAAGTTCCTCAGGTCTTCACAAGCCAGGTGCAAGTAAAGAGGACTGACTGCTCCCTTCTTGGATATTAGTGTCTGGAGCTGGACAAACACACACAAGCATGACATAGTGTAAAGATGGATATAAAAGACAAATTTAACCATCCAGAGAATGTTTTGAATTCAAAGATATCATAAGAAGAACCTGGTTGTTGAAAGCAGAGTCGCTGAGTTTCTTGCCAAATGCATCCAGTTCCTTCTGAACGATCTCCTTTCGGTCTGGCAAGGTAAGCTGTCCCAGCGTAAACAGGAGCGTCCCTTTTTTCTTGGTTAGTGTTTGTAACAGAGCTGCTTTAGACGTGATGCTCACCACCAAACAGACACCCTGTTAAGACCAGGATTATTTGAGATTAACTGCAGTTAAAACTGAAACATAACGAAAGTAAGTAAATGGATGAGCAGCCCTGCACATTACACATATAAAAAAAGTTTATGAAGACAGGGATGAAAAAAAATTATGGAGAGTTTTTTGCCTGCACATAAGATTTCGTTTTTGCAGGTCATCAACTTTCAAATATTTTAATGCAAAAAAAAAAAAAAGTTGTGCACACCAGAGAATAAAAGGATCTATTTGATTAAGATGGGCTGTATCTGAACTTATAAGTAAAATTGCAGCAGGTCCCTTGAAATAAATGTATCCGAGTTGCAAATCTTTGCTATTTTTTTAATGTGTGATGAAGCACCTTTTCTCCCCAGGTGACCCGTGGAAGCTGCTGTGGGATCCAATCAGAGCTGACCTGACCTCTGCCATCCTGGACAAGATCTGCCCCATCAACTAGCAGCACCAGAGGTTTGTTCCTCTTTATATTACTTAATGTGGAGTGAAACTCTGACAGCAAATCTCTGAGAAAAGGAAAAAAAAAAAAATCGGTCATGAAACAGACAGCTGGAAACCACTGTAAGGGAACAGATTACATGACCAAAAAGTTACTTACTTATACGAGTGAGGAAAAGGCGATTCCTCCTCTGTGCCCTTTATCTTTCTCAGCCACTTAACAAGACACCGAAGGAGTTTTTCCACAGAGTGTGCTGATTGGCTGGCGGCTGTAGAGTAAGAGATTACATCGCAGACGAGGTTTTTCCTGGACTTAACTCCAGTCCTGAGGGCCTCAGCTAGAGCAGCCTGTGTGTGGAAACAATAAATTTACATTTAGGCCAGAATATATTTGACCATATGAGCTCTGAATACCAGCTCAAAAGATAATGAAACAAAATAAAAATATCAAGAAACAAAGTTCGAGTTGAGGGTCGGGTGTGAACTCTATGGTTTTCGGGGTTTTTATGGTTATTTTTTTAATCGTTTTTATCGTTAACTCGGTTTCCTTGGGTCTTTTCCCGTGTGTTATGAATAAATATTCCTTTTTTGATACCGGTACTGGTTTTATTTTGTTGAATTTATCTGCAACACCTTAAAGGCCGGTCCGTGAAAATATTGTCGGACATAAACCGGTTCGTGGCACAAAAAGGGTTGGGGGCCGCTGCTCTAAAAAGCCTGCTTGGAAAATTAGCTGGAAAGTAAAGACTAAGTAAGTACGTGAACTCAAACGCATTTCTTTTCATTTCTGTTTATCTGAAAATGTTTGGCCTCTTATGATAATTGGGATTGCCTGGTAGAGAGAATGAAACCTTTCCTTACCTAAAAGGTTACAGGTTAAAAATCTAACTATGTGTTTTTAGAGATTTTGAGCTTGAGTCTTTGAGAAGTGCACAAGATAATAAATGACTGTTGGCTTGTTATGCAACTTGGAGAAGAAACTCCCAATCAATTAATCAATTAGTTACAAGCAAAAATGCCAGAAAATCTACCTCGTTCTAAAACATTCAAAAAGTTCAGACGCCATAATCAATTTTGATGTCTTCATGTGGTGTTTCTTTCATTATGTCCACCTCCTACACGTGCAGCAGGTTAGAAGTCTTTCAGAAATTTACCATGAAGACAGTTTTGCCTTCTCCAGGTCCTGCCTCCACCACAATCATCCCTCCTTTGGTCTGGGCCTGCTCCACCAAATCCACAGCGTTAGACAGGAGCTTCGACCTGCCAAAAAACTGCCTCTGCATCGCCTCCTGGTGGACCTCCTGCTCCAACACCTCTGATGCAGCCTCAGCCTCCTCAGCCTCCTGTGAGATGTGTAATTATGAAGTGTTTGTTGAGTCGATTAGTAAGGTGCAGCATTGAAGAAAATCTAAGAATAAAGATACTGAAGTGGATCATATCAGAAGATTCTACCTCTACAAGCAAAATAGCTCATCAGAGCTTATCAGACTCACGTCGACAAACAGCTTTTTGACAGCCATCCAAAGGTCCTCCAGCACAGCGTTGCCAAAGTCCTCCAGGTTTTTCAGATATGGTTTCCCATCCACAACGCCTCCCCACTCACACGAATAACTATACCACAGAGAAATTTAGTGAAATGTGACTTTTTCAGGACTGAAAAGCAGGAACAAAACAAGTTAATTTTCTTATTCAATTTAATTTAAATATTTAATTTATCCAATAGAGATCCGAACAGAAACCTGGACATTTCCAGGCGACTCTGTTCATATAAAAGATGTCCTTTATGACTCTAATTTGACAATAATTAACATCAACACATCAAACTTATTAGTTATTTATTATGGTCTGTGGGGTGAGACACATAAATAAGTAAAATACAACTGGTGCAATTTGCAGACCTTTTCCCTACCTGCTCATCTTTTAAGGCTTTTAACTTTGGTACAAACATAACATTTAAGACCAAAAAACAAAAGCAGAGAGCATACAGTGAAAGAGCATACTTTTAAACTACTTAGATTATGGCTTTAGTGCTATAAGCATGATTGAGACGACTCACTTTTCTGTGACCTTGACATCACCGGACAAGAGTCTTCCCTTCAGAGAGGCCATTTTATGTGCAGCGTCCGTTGATTCAGGAGCAAAATGTGATCTCCAAGCCACAGGAACTGAACTGAACACCAATAGAAATACTGGATAAAGTAATGTGATGCATTTCTGCTATACTGCTGTTGGACTGCTATACTTAAATCAACTCCCAAAAAACAAAAACCCAACATGTATAAAATGTATAAAAACATCAAATTAAAATATTAAAATACATACTTGATGATGTTCGGATCTCTAAAGTAGCAAAGCATTCGCTGGTGTGCTACGTCGGGATAAAGAGCCTGAAACTGACGGATTTCCATCTCTGTGATGGACAGACCTGCTGGGGCTGAGGCCAGCTGCAAAGAATACATTATTCATCTTTCATTTCAACTCAGATTTATAACTTAAAACAAAAGTCATCATTAAATTTAGTTTGTACATCTTAACATGTCAGGTATGTGACACATTTATTGTTATGCTTGATGTTTTTGTCTCTAATGTTATATGTTATGCACTACTACAGCACTTTAGGTTTCTTAACCTTCATGTAATCACTAATATGAATGTTCACGCGTTTCACAATAGTTATATAAAGTTATTAAACACCTATCGAAGTATCTATCATCAATGAAGTTAATTACTGTGCTAATTTATCTCCTTGAGCCTGGTTCTGCTTGAGATTTTTTCCCTGTTAAAAGGGAGTTTTTCCCTCCCATAGTCACTAAGTTCGTCCTTGTAGAGGATCAGGTGCTTGTTGGTCCATCCATCCATTTGCTTCCGCTTATCCCTTTCAGGGTCAGCTGGAGCTTATCTTAGGGCAAGAGGCAGGGTACAGTCTGTCACAGGGCTAACACATAGACAAAGACCTCAATTAACCTAACCCCACTAAGTGCATGTCTTTGGACAGTGGGAGGAAGCCGGAGTACCCAGGGAGAACCCACGCAAACACGGGGAGAACATGCAAACTCCACACAGACTCTACCATTGACTGATGGTAGAATTGAACTCAGGACCTTCTTGCTGTGAGGCAACAGTGCTAACCCCCGTGCCACCGTGCTAGTTGGTGTTTCTTTGTAATATTTTAGGGCCTTTACGATACAATATAAAGCACTTTGAGGCAAACTGGTTCTCACAGAGACTGCCTTTATAATATGTTGCTCTTGTTATCTAAAATTTAACATCTAATTTTATATGTATATAAATATGGCATAAAGTAAGTTGTTAGTAAGATAGTTGGTACCATTTTCTACAAATGTTATAATTCATGTAGGCAGAAGTCTGGTTGTTTAATGTCTGGAATATAGGATTATAATTTATTCTTGTATTGTTAGACTCAACTGTCATTCCCTTAATTATTACAAAGATTTCTTCTAAAAGATCATAACGTAATCTATTTAATTTAGTGTCGGTGTGACAGGTTTGGTCAGAATACGTTTCTGTTTGTTCTGTACTTTCCAGTATTTTCCCGGTCACATTTACAGAGCTTTTCCTGTTATGTATGTTCCATAAGTCTTACCCAGCTGTACTGTGGGAGGTCTGGTAGGTCAGGTTTGGGGGGCACCTGACCGTATCTCTCCCCGAGGATTCCCACCAGCATCTGGCTGCGACACACCTCTGACAGGCATAACTCTGAGGCCCGCTCAGACTCCTCCTCTGTCACACCCCAACGCAGTTCTACCTCTTGCAAGTAGAGGCAGTGTGGTGCAGCGCGCCGGCGTAGCTCTGGGAAGACGCTGCGCACCAAGATGTCGCGTTCAGAGTGCATGTCTCTGAACGTGGAGGAGATGAACACCCGCACACCTTGCCATCTGAGGATGGAGGGAGGAACTACAGTTAAACTAATGAGGAGAAATAGGGGGGAAAAAAAACATCTTAAAATGTAAAACATACCTTAATTTTGGGCTTGTCGGTATTGAGACCACATTGCTCGTGGTCTGAGAGTGTTGACCCCCCTCTGGTGGAGGAATGTTATATAATTTGTCTAAATGCTCCACGTGATCGAGCAGCCTGGAAGATCCTCTCTCTGCCACAAACCTGGTCAAATAGTGGAAAAAAGGATGGGGGGGGGGATATTTATTGACTTTCTTGATAACCATAAACTTTTGTTGTATCCATACAATAATATGCAGCTGGTCATCTTAGCTTAGCAACAACTAGAAACAAAGGAACACTAAAGGCAGGTTCTGTCTATGGGAGGGGCACACTTTCGGTGTGACCAGATGCCCCTTCCACTTCATCACTGGACGTTCCAGTGGAAAAACCTTTTTTAAACCTTATATTCTGTCATTACATACAATAACAATCCTTATAAGCTTTGTTAATCTCCTCCAAAACTTATAAGGATCCTTTTAAATTGGTTTAACTGATGAAAACGTGCAGTTTTCACGTCAGGATGAAAATAAAAGTTCATTTAACTTATGCTTCCTCGAGGTGTTTCCAGATGCCTGTGATGTGGAAAAACCTGCTTCCAGAAGCACATTGACAAACATCTTCAACAGTGAGTGCTCAGTACAGGTCCTAGCTGGAGTTTTACGATGTTTCTTCCCATATATTTTGCATCTTTCCACTGTAACTCTAATACTAGTGTTGAGATAATGGCTTAACAGAGTAACCTGCTGCTATTATTATTCGTTTTTCAGGACATTAAACAAATGTGATATTACATTTTACTCAAGAGGCTCTTTTTCTCCAGCTTCGTGTTAAGCTAAGCTAACCAGCTGTTGATTCCAGTTTCACACTCAACCAAAAAAATATAGAAGTGGCATCAATGGTTTCATTGTGGCAAGAAAGTAAATAATCATATTGGCTAAAAGATGAACGA